GCACCCATTTGTCTTCAGCAATCGTATCAGGAAAGTGAGCATCATGGAATGCCAGTTTAATAGAACAAAGTGTTCTTGCATTGAGGGAGTACTTGATTGGAGGCCCAATGTCCATCTGCTTCCTTAATACTACACCTATAAATATATGCACATAGATCTATTTCCCCAATATTATAAATAAGTATATTTACATATGTACATATCTGTATTTGGACCTCTATAAATGCTCTTTACCTCCTAGTTCTTTCCTCTATTTTCCTTTACTTTCCTCTTGTCCCACTATCATGCTCTGCCTTCATTTGGGTTTCAGTAATTCTTCTCAGTTATATTGCCTTTGATCAAGCCTTATCCAGCCTCTTATTCCCTCCTTGCCATCACTTTTGGAACACTTGATGTTTCCTTGTCCCTGGGGTTGTTTACACCCACTTCCTTTCCCCCACCTCCCCCTGTTCCATGTCCCCTGGAACCATCGGTCCTGTTGTTCTCTCCTCCAGATTGTTTATCCAGGTATGCTCCTTTCTTGATTCACTCCGTTTTGGGGGGTTCAGACCGCGCTGCTGCCCCAGAAATGTCCTCTGTCTCAGTTTGTTCCAGTAAGGGACAGCATGACACGTGCTATTGTCGTTTGCCTAGTCCCATCTTCCAATTAGCTCCCAGCAGGGACGTCATCCCCTAAGCCTGGTGTGCCAGTATGGGGTCCAGTCTGACTTTCTCTTCCTCCCTCCCGGCCTGCCTCCGTGTGGGGTGACATGCTGGCCCCTCTCCCCACCCTGTAAGTTCAGTTCTGCTCTCCACCACTCCCACTTCCAGGGAGGGAGCAGTTTGGTTCTGGTTGGGGCCAGCCCTGTATCTCTCTTTTCATGCATCATTCCATGTGGCCACGCTGTCCTCCTGGTTTGATGCATCATGGTAGGTTTTGCATGCCCGCTCCTGATTCTGTGGAGACAAGACCAGTACTCTCGCCTGGTGGATTAGTGCCCTGTTCCCTCCATCATCATTTCACTGTCAACCCCCGCTTTTCTCTCGGCCCCCTCCCTCCTTTTCCATTATTCTGTTGGACCAACATGTACCTCCTTGGGTTTGGTTGAACCTCCTCCCAATTCCCTGTATCTCAAGCCAAATGCTATGATGTAGGTGGCTTCTCTTCTATACCTACCATGCTGATCACACTTACCTATCTTAATAGATAATTTTTCAGGGTAAAGGATTCGAGGGGAGGCGATGTTTTCTTTAAGCTTTTGGAAGATGTTAGTCCACTCTCTCCTTCTCTTCATGGTTTCTGTTGATAGGTCTGAGCATATTCTTACCTGAGAGCCATTGTATGTGACTGCCTTCCTTTGTCTTGACGCTCTTAGGATTTTCTCTTGATAATTTAGCTGTTGACTTCTTCGCTGTGTCTTCTTCTGGTAGGACAATAATTTGGATGTTGTTCCTTTTTATAGCATCAGTCATTAATATCAGGTTTTCTTCCGCCTCTTTTATTATCTTGTTTGATTGTCTTTTTCATTTTCTGAGGTCTGCCTGATTGCCTTCGAGATCCCTGATACAGTTCTCAGCCTCCTGTACTCTGTTCGTGAGATTAGTGATCTTGTGTGCAGCTTCTGCTACTTCGTCCATTAGCTCCTGTATTTCCCTTTGGGGCATGGACGTCATCCCCTCTATTGCGGACGTCATCCCCTCTATCTTTGCATCCTTAGTCTGTGTAGCTTCCCTCATCTCCTGTATTACTCCAAGCAACCTTCTGAAAATTTCTTTTTTCTTTTCTTTTTTGGCAGATCCACATCAGATTTAGGCCCAGCGGCTTCCTGGTCTGAGTCTGCTTCCACACGGCTCTGAGCGATTTCACGTGGACTTCCCGCCGCTCCCTGGGAAAAGCAGGGGCTGCTAGAAGCTGCCAAGGAGGAGAAATGGTGGGCGGGTAGTGTGGGCGCCACTCCCTGTGGATAGTGAGATGCCGGGCTAAGATATGCTGAGGCTCCCTGGAAGTGGTGGGGCCTGTGCCCCAGTTGTCAGTGCAGAAGTGACTGTGTGGGGGTGGAGGTGACCCAAGCACTGGTGCTGGGTGCACCTAGCCGCAGGCACACAGACCAGCTGCAGGTTCGGCCCTGGGGCCCTGGGCAGCTGCCTGGAGGGACCAGAGCTTGCAGGCGGAATCGTTACTAGCCCCGTGGAGAGAGGGGAACTGTGGGAGACAGGCGCATCGCCCCCAGGTGGGAGCCACGAGTGGACAGCTGCTATGTGGTGGTCAGGCCCGGCCTTGGGGAGCTCTACACAATAACTGTCCTGGGGCAGCGACCAGGCCAGGGGTTGAGTGGGGGGAGGCACTGGCTGATGGCAGGGAGCACAAGAGTCACACCGCCGGTGGGAAATCCCTGATATATGGACCCAGCTTTCTGGGGCTTGAAATAAAGCAGATGCCGGACAAGGCACCCTCCTGGACACTTCCACTTGACCTCCCCGGCCCCAGACTCAACGGAGCTCCCCGTATTGTCTGCTTACCTTGGTGACATCTTGACCGGAACCCTCTCTGAAGTGTTTTTTAAGATGTACAAATAAAGGTGATGGTAAAGTTCATGGGCACTAGGCATATCCGTAAAATTACCTTATGCCTCATGAGGATAATTTATACTGTTCTCTATCATAAAATGATAATTATGCCTCTAAAGTAAACCAGAGATATATATATAAACCATAGATATAGGAATAGATTTGGGACTTGCACTTAATCGTTGCCCTAGTGTAAGAACAATTAGTTCTTATGACATGGTCTTAATGGATACTTGCTTTCATGAAAAGCTTACAGAAGATTTGGATGTATAGCAATTACAGTGACGAAACTAGACGGTGCCCACTATCATAAAGAATAGCATGTGGGATCTTAAAGGCTTGTCTTCAGACAAGCAGCCATCCAAATGAGGTGTCAACTAAGTCCACATGAAAGAAGCACACCAGCCTCTGTGATGCAAGGATTGTGAATAGTAAAATCCAAATCTGAAAGAGGCCACAATATTAGGACTTAAATTGTAAACACCTGGTTTGCAGAAAGCTATGGTTCACAGTGGAAGCCCAACATCCATATTTAGGGCTGCCACATGCATTAAGCCTCCAGGGAATCCTCTCTGATCACCATCCAGGAACGTGAATACCCATACTATCTGACAGAGAGCATGGTAGAGTTGATTGTAGATAATGTAGTTAAATTAATTGTAATGCCCTAACATCTGATCTCCTTTTGGGACAAATTTTTAACTTGTATCCGTTTTTAATATTTTCTGCTTTCTTTTCAATTGAGGTTTTTCTCTGTTTATCGTTGTTGTCGGGGTTTTTTGTTGCTTGTTTCTCGGGTTCTGCATGCTGTTTTGCATATGAAATCCAAGAGAGGTAAAACCATAGGAGCCTTGGTGGGATTACTGGTTTTGAGTTGGGTTGCTAACTGCAAGGTCAGCAGTTTGAAACCACCAGACCCTCCTCTAGAGAAAGACAGGCTTTTTACTCCCTTAAAGAGTTACAGACTTGAAAACTCACAAGGGCAGTTTTACCAATAGCATTGCTGTGAGTCAGCATCACTCAATGGCAATGAGTGTGTTTTGTTTTTGTTTGGAGGTCTGGCAGGGAAGGTGGAGGAGGGGGAAATAGGAAGCCAACAACAATGAGTACAAGAAAGAAGAAATTATTCTGAAATTAACTGTGGTCTTGACTGTACAATTTTTCTTAATGTTAAACTATAAAATTTTGTGATATGCCAAGAAAACTATTAAAAACAACAATCTATGATTAAAGGGAAATTGTTAGTTTTAAATATATATATTGGAAAAGGAGAGTCCTAATTGGTGTGAATACAAAACATGTTTCTCAAATTATGAAACAAATAGAAAAATGCATAACAAAAATATAAATAGTAACACAATCCAAAGTCTAATTCATGATATTGTTGTTGCCCTTTGACATTCTCACATTGCTGCTCCTCTACTTTGCTAAGCATGATGTCTGTCTCCAGGGATTGGTCTCCCCAGACAACATGTCCAAAGTACATAAGAGGAAGTGTCGCCATTCTTGCCTTGAAGAGCACTCTGGTGGTATTTCTCTTACGTCACATTTGGTTGACCTTTTGGCAGTCCATGGTACTTTCCATATTCTTCACCAATACCATAGTTCAAATGCATTGATTCTTCTTCAGTTTTCCTTATTCAATGTCCTACTCTCACACACAGATGAAGAAGTTGGAAATACCTTGGATCGGGTCTGGTGTACCTTAGTTCTCGAAGTGACCTCCCAGCTTTTCAACACTCGAAAGAGATCATGCACAGTTTTACTCAGTGCAATTCTTCTTTTGATCTCTTGACTGTGGCTTCCATGAGTATTGATTGTGTGTCCAAGAAAGACGAAATTCTTACAACTTCAACCTTTTCTCCATTTATCACGATGTTAATGAACTATTAGTCCAATTGTGGTGATGTTGGTGTTTCTTTACATTGAGTTGTAATCCATACTGAAGGCTGCAATCTTTGATTTTCAGCAGCAAGTGCTTCAAGTCCTCCTCACTTGTACTGAGCAAAGTTGTGTTATTTGCATATCACAGGTTGTTGATAAGCCTTACTCCAATCCTGATGTCGTAGGCTTCATATTGCCTAGTTTCTCTGATTATGTGCTCAGCATACCAATCAAATAAGTATGGTAGGAAGCTAGAACCATAACACACACCTTTCCTGATTTTAAACCATACAGTCTGTTGATCCTCACAGAAGTTCCCCAAGAGCACAACGAAGTGTTCTGGAATTTCCATAGTCTATCGATAGTTTGTTATTACTCACACAATCAAGTGCATTTGCATAGTCAAAAGTAAACATCTTTGATTTTCTCTGCTTTCAGCCAAGATCCATCTGATATCAACAAGGAAATCCCTTGTTCTACATTCTCTTCTGAATCCAGCCTAAACCGTTTGCAGCTCACTATCATTGTACTGCTGCAATCCTTGTGAGATCTTCAGCAAAAATGTTGCTTGCATGCAATATCAATGATATTGTTCGATAATTTGAACGTTCTGTTGGGTCACCCTTTTTTTGGAATGGATACAAATATGAATCTCCTCCAGTCAGTTAGCCAAGTAGCCTTGCTCCAAATTTCCTGGCAAAGACGAGTGCTTCCAATGCTTCATTGGCTAGTTTCATTTGATAGTCCATTTCAATTGGTATTCCATCAATTCCAGGACCCTTGTTTTTGGCCAATACTTTCAGTGAAGCTTGGATTTCTTCCTTCAGTACCATAGGTTCATGTTTTTTGCTACCTCCTGAAATGGTTGAATGTTGATTAGCTCTTTTGGGTACAGTGACTGTATATTCTTTCCACCTTCCTTTGATGAATTGCTTTCATGAATTGCTCAGTATTTTGCCCATAGACTATTCAATATTGTAATCTGAGGCTTGATTTTTTTCTTGAGCTCTTTCAGTTTAAGATGTTCTCAGTGTGTTCTTTCTTTGTGGTTTTTTAACTCTAGGTCATTACACATTTCCTTATAATATTTACTGTCTTCTCATCTGCTCTTTGAAATTTTCCGTTCATCTCTTTGATTTCATCACATCTTCAATTTGCTTTAGCCACTCTGCGATGAAGAGCAAGTTTCTGTCTCTTCTGACATCCACTTTGATCTTTTCATTCTTTCCTGTCTTTTTAATGACCTTTTGCTTTCTTCCGGAATGGTTTTCTTGATGTCCTCCCATCACTCACCAAGTCTTTTGTCACTGGTTTTCAATGCAGCACATCCATTCTTGAGATATTCTCAAAATTTAAGGGGGATAGACTACAGGTAATATTTTGGCTCTTATGGACTTTTAAATTTTTTCTTATGCTTCAACCTGAACTTACACATGAGCAATTGATAGTATGTTATATAGTCAGCCCCTGGCCTAGTTTTAGCTGCTAATATTCAGCTTCTCCATCATCTCTTCCCACAGATAAAGTCATTTTAGTATTTATACATTGTATCTAGAAAATTCCATATTTATGAGTTGTGTTGTTGAAAAAATTACTTGCTATGAAAAAGTAGATGGTCTTGCAAAATTCTGTCATGTGATCACCAGCTTCAATTTTAACACCAAGACCATTCTTTCAAACTACTCTTCCTTCATTTTTGTTCTAACTTTTGTGTTCCAATCGTCATTAATTATCAATGCATCTTGATTGTATGTTTGATCAATTTCAGACTAAAGACGTTGGTAAAATTCTTCAGTGTCTTCATCACTAGTTTTAGTGGTTGGTGCATAAACTTGAACAAAAGTTGTATTATTGGATTTCCTTGAAGGTGGATAGATATAGCCTTATCACAGATAGCATTGTACTTCAAGATAGATTTTGAAATGTCCTTTTGACAATGAATGCCACACCACTCCTCTTGTGTCATTTCGACAATGATTGTGTCATTTCAACATAGTAAACATATGATTTCCTGATTCAAAAAAGCCAATAACAATCCATTTCAGCTCACTTCCACCTACGATACCAATATTTCTGTGTTCCATTTCATTTTTGATGATGTCAAGTTTTCCTAGGTTCATACGCAATCTGAAAATTAATGAGCTAATCTGGATCTTGTTTTGATATATAAAAGAACAACAGACTAGACCTCTTTAGGGAGAAATTCTATGCCCTTTCAGAAAAGACTACTCCTGTAAGATTAAAAAAAAAAAACTCCCAAATTTTGAATTGGCCTCTCTGCCTTAAATTTAACTGGTGCAGTACATCTTTGTGGAAACTATATTTTGATGGCCTTTGTTTTGTAAGCTACCCTCCAGAGACTAAAACAATTCGACTATTGAGAGAAATTGTCCTCAGCCATCCAGCACTAATCACGGACACACACTTAAAGACGCTTCATTTGAAAGAAATAGAAGTAGTATAGAGGTATGAAAGAGAGGAAGGCTCTCCACAAGATAGACTGATGCCGTGGCTGTAACAAAGGACTGTGCTTAGGAATGATTGTGAGGACAGTGTGGAACCAGGCAATGTTTCATCCTGCTGTGCAGAGTGTCACTGTGTGCCAGAATTGACTCAAAGGCACCTAACAGCCACCTTTGGGAGAAACCCATGTATTTATGAACTGAAGCCGCAGTAGCAATATTCTTAAACTTACCTTTATGTACGTGGACACACTGTTATTGGTTCCAACCAATCAACACCCTGTGCACAACAGAATGAAACACTGGTCAGATCCTGTGTGACCTTCACAATCGTGTTTATGTTTGAATCCATTCATGTCATTGCTTTATCAACCATTCTCATGGAGGGTCTTCCTGTACTGACACACATAAAATATGGATACAAATCAAATGCTACTCCTGCAGAGAGGAGTTTATTTCCCCTCCACAACAATATGCAGGACCTTGGATCTATAAAAATACAATGGATATATCCATGATAATTAATTATTTTTAAAGGCAATAAAGATATTCAGTAGTAACTCTAAACCATATAAGCCATTTATCATATTTAAAAATTACTCAGATGCAATAGCATAGCTACATAAACCTAAATTTCAAAAGTAGAACATTTCATGACAAGTGTAATTATTGTAGCTG